AACTATCTAAGATTCCTCGACAAAAAGAGAAACACTTGGCTTGGAAAGATTGAGAACCAGAGGTTGATGGAAGACGTGGCATCGACATTTACCCATTTGAAATAGTGTTTCAGATATAAAGACAACATATGAAACTTATACAATGCAGATCAAATGCCAGATGATGCAAACCACGAATGAGATGACTATCTTTCTACTAGTTAGGTACCTACACCTACACTTCGTACTTGTCACGAGGTTGTGGCCTAAACTATAATAATTTATATATTTATTGTTCCATAACTGTATGAACTCCTTTCCAGGATAACACAAACACAAGTCTACGAAATTCAACTAGCAAGGAAACATTTCTTATGGAGCTGAAAATGAGCATTTGTGATTCTACTAAAAAACATTGAAGATGCTTATAGAAACCTTCTCCCATCAACATATTATGTAAAATGATTTCCATGGTTTAAAGTCGCCTATTATAGGAATTACTCATTTATCAAAGTAATTAATTACCTATACCTTGCACTAATAAAGAGCATTGAAACTAGCATTCAATTATATAGGTAATTGAGTATTATTGTTTGCTTTTCATAGCATAGTTTCAAAGCCTGATATCTATTCAATATGAGCAACGTCACAATAGGTCAGCTAGAACCCATTATACAATTTTCAAATTTTTTACACATAATTCCATCATATGATTTCAAAACGGATAGTCTTCGAATGATGAAGTATAAAAAATTTCGACTGGCTATAGTTTTTGTAAGCGTCATTGTACTCTTTAGTTTAAAAATAAGATGGAATCATGCATTGAGTTTCCTGATGTTATCGTTTTTCACTACTTGGAGCTCATTTCTGGCTGCAATGATGATCCTAAATGGAGTATTCGGCTGGTGTAATAAGAGGAACGAATGGGAAAAATTATTTCAGGTGATGATGATTATAGAAATTTCTCATACCTAATAATTTAATTTTCAAAACTTTGTTTCAGCAGACTTTCAAATTTTTGGAATCCGATAAATGCTTAAACATCAGCCAACCTATTAGTAAAAACCGACTTTACTGTTTGATTGTAAACAATATACTTTGTTTTATATTCGGTATTACATTGAATGTAAAATGGATACAAAACCCCAACATGTTGAAATATTTGTTGGCCTATTCGATAACCGATGCTATCGTTATTTATTACATGTCAATGAGTACTTTTGTGAAAAATCAAATTTTATCCGTCTTAATTATAAGATACGAGGACTTAACTCGTCTAATGCTCAATGCGAGTTCTAAAGAAATATCTGCAAATGATCTATGGAAAAACATTAGAAAATTTGACACAAATTGTTACTAGCTTCAATAAATTGTTTAGTATGCAAAATTACTATACAATAGCCTACTGTTTCATAGCTTCATTGAATTTGGGTTTGTGCTTGAGTCATCTTAAATTTGGAACACTTGACGCCATTGCAATGGTGGTATTTTTTGCCAGTATTGTTTTTAGTTTCCAGTTCTTGTAAGTATTTACATGTGCGATAAGGCCTCAAAGTCCCGAGAAACTTGCCTAAAAGCCTTCACATATACACAACGACAGTTTTCTTGTAATTCACCTTATTATAAGGAACAGGAGTTCTTGGCGAGCAAATATAAAAATATGAAAACTTTATTTTCAGCTGCTGGATATTTTACTATCAATCGAGTGCTGATTTTATCGATATGTGGAGCATTGTCGAATCAGTTTATCGCACTCGAACAAATATGGAAGCTCTATGACGGTTTTGAAAGTGTTCATTTACCGGAGATTGTGAAATACAAGCGGAAGTAGCGAAAACGCTCGTGGGGTTTGATTTGGAAATTTAAATGATCATCATGAGAGTCAAGCACAACTAAAAAATAAAACTTTAGTCTCTTTGTTTTTAACTAAGGAAAGGAATTTCAGCGATTTTTGTTTAACTTTAACCAAGATCTCCAGTAATTAACTTCCACTAAAATACCACAGTACAGACAGCACAAAAGTAATTTCACAGAGGCGTTATTATGTAGGTAGGTAGGACACTGTTATATTTTACTGAAAGCTGTTTAAATAGTTATGTGGAAATCAAAATAAATGATACAGGTACTACCTACTACTTGTATGATCTTTATTGAACAAAATTCAGATAAACGTCGAAATAATTAAACGACGATAAGTAGGTACTCAACTTACCAATGTTACTTTTAATTATCCTGATTCCTGTTCTTTTGCTATCACTTTTTTCCAAGAGTAGAACTCCTTCAACGAGCATGGGCCTTGAGATTTGCCTAAGCTCTTTTATGTTCTTTAGCCACGACTATTTTTCCCATGCCTTTCTTATCTTTAATCTTTCCTTTCATCATCAGCTTTGGGAACAAGTAATTTCTGAAGATGACCCAGGTTACAGTTTTCCTACTTGTCATTTTCAGAAATATTTCGTTCGAGACATGATCCGTTGCGGAATTTTTATAATTTTTCTGAATACCCACGTTTCAAAGGATTTCAGTAGGCTCATGTTACTGGCCTTTATTGTTCATGTCTTCACTCCGTACAGGAGCACGTAATATCAAGTTAAGACTGTTGTTGCTCAAAGCTCTTACATTCACAAATGTTGCCCTGGCTTGCTCAATTTTGCCACGTATTTCTACGTCTGAATCTGATCTTCAGTTATCTAAATTTTGCGACTTTATGGATTTTCTCGACATTCTAAGCAAGGGACTTCTCATGGGTGTATAAGCTCTGGTTGAGTCTCTGATAAGATATAGTATGGTTGAGTGGGGTGGCTCTGAATCGATTTGAACATAGTGCAAAATTATTTTCTAAAAAGTATATATCGCAATAACAAACTCTTCCTTACCAACTCACTATATTCGGTAGACATTTCTGAGTGTAGGTGCAATATATTGACCCCCATCCACTATATCCATAAAACTCCAAAACTGGAACAATTTGTCAATCATAAGCATGAAACTATACCATTTCCAGCATTATTTCACATAAGAGTGAAATTTGATTCCAAATTAATGAAAACTAAATTCACATTAGTGAAATCTAATTTCGCTCAAATGATTATTTCACCGTAATGAAATAAGCCCACTAAGTTTATATTATATAACATATACAATTATGTTACTCATTGTCAGGTATATTTGACGATAATGGACAAATATTCTTCTAAATTTGCCGCAGCATTCCTGGTGAATGAAACAACGATAGAGATTTGTCAAAGTTTAATAAAATTCTTTGTGCATTATGGTACACTAAGTAAAATTACCACTGATAATGCACAAATTTTCAAGAATAATCTAATACAAGTTCTCTGTAAAACGTATAAGATTGAATTTGCATTCCAATCCAAATTCGAACTTGCCGATTGAAAGATTCCATTCGACGATGAAAGAAAGCATTATAGTCCTACGAATTGACCAGGGTACCAAAACAATTCAAAAATTAATTCAAAATTGAATGCTAGTTTTTACTTATACAGAATACTGGATGTCAACCACAGATGTCAACAAAACGTCATTGAACAAACATTTTAGTTCTCGGACTTTTCGACTTTAAACGGACTTTGATTAAACGTCCGTCGTATCTTTTGTGCTATTAGGAATTACGCAATTAAGATACACTTGGAAATATTAAAAGAAGATGTGAATTAAGTGTGTAAATATACTATTTTTATTATGATGGGTGTATGGGCTCTGGTTGAGTCTCTGATAAGATATAGTGTGGTTGGGTGGGGTGGCCTTTACTAAAACTCTCTGAATCTATTTGAACATAGTGCAAAATTACATTCTAAAAATTATATATCGCAATAACAAACTCTTCCTTACCAACTCACTATATTTGGTAGACATTCTGAGTCAGGGATGTGCCGTAGACTATGAAATCTACTTTACGCCGTTTGTCTACTCGTTGTCTACGTAGGTATTGTTTTCATCCACTTTTTTCCATGGTAGACTATGTAAACTATGTAGACATCGTAGACAACAGAAAATTTGAAATTTGAGTAATTTTTCTGAGAGTTTGCATTGCATTAAATTTTTATTTTATCAAATTAGACATTATCTGCAGTTTAATTAGGAACATTACAAAGCAGAAAACAAAACAAAGCAAAAACAGAAACTTAGCCTTAAAGGCCTGCCAACTGTCAAAAATTGTATATTTTACGCGTTGTCTACATATTTTACATGTTGTCTACATAGATTACATAGTTTACATTGTCTACGCGTTGTTTACACCAGACGTAGACAATGTTTGTTTACGCGTAGATGCCCATCTCTAATTCTGAGTGTAGGTGCAATATATTGACCCACATTATGTTCCTATATACATAAAACTCCAAAACTGGAACAATTTGTCAATCATAAGCATGAAACTATACCATTTCCAGCATTATTTTATATGAGAGTGAAATTTGATTCCAAATTAATGAAAACTAAATTCACATTATTCAAATCTAATTTCGCTCAAATGATTTTTTCCCCCTAATGAAATAAACCCACTGAGTTTATATTATATAACATAAAATACAATCATGTTACTCATTTTCAGGTCAGAAATATTTGACGATAATAGACAATTCTTCTAAATTTGTCGCAGCATATCTGGTGAATGAAACATCGATAGAGATTCGTCAAAGTTTGATAAAATTCTTTGTGCATTATGGTACACCAAGTAAAATTACCACTGATATTGCACAAATTTTCAAGAATAATCTAATACAAGTTCTCTGTAAAACGTATAAGATTGAATTTACATTTTACCACACTGTAACAATCCAAATTCAAACTTGCCGATTGAAAGATTCCATTCGACTATAAAAGAAAGCATTATAGCCCTACGAATTGATGGATGTCAACAAACGTCATTAAACAAACATTTTAATCCTCAAGACTTTTCAACTTTAAACGGACTTTAATTAAACGTCCGTCGTATCTTTTGTGCTATTAGGAATTACGGCAATTAAGATACACTTGGAAATATTAAAAGAAGATGTGAATTATGTGTGTAAATACATATACCATTTTTATTTACAAGACAAAAAATATTTGGGACATTTTCAAGTATAGATACTTAAATAAAACTGTATGATCAAGAATAATCAAAATATAAAAGAATTGTTAAAAAATGCCTCTACGTACTTATAATAAAAAATTAGTAGGTAGGTACCTATTTTTATCATTTGCACATCTTACACTGCCTCTTCATATACATACACACAAAAACAATAAACCTAGTTAGAAAATACACAATTATTATTATTAATTTAATACACGAAACATCAGTCACATTTATTATTAAATATAATCCATTTATACAATTCAAAATTTGGAGTAAAACTGTCATTTTTCTTTGACTCTTTAATTCTTATTTATCACTGACGATTTAAAATTCGACCACGACTCCTCAATAGGTGCCAGAGCAGTTATCACAATCAGAGCAACGACAATTGCTAATATTATTAAAATGTATATCGCTAACCAGGCTCTTCTAAATGTACTGAACTATAACATAAAAATAAATGTTAAAAGTTTAATTTTGTTTTTTTTTTTTTTAAATCTTACCGGTGCATCAGCACTTCTGTCCGCATAGGCAGAACTTTTACCCGAACCTCCTAGGTCTTTCATTGGAAACGAAGAAACTCTTCTTTCGGAGGATTTCTCTGCTACACAATTCATAATCTGTAAGGAATTTTATTAATTTAATTATACAGAAGCTATATATAACATTGCAATGAGTAGTTAATAATAGAAAATATTACAAATAGAAGAAATAAGAATATTGCGAAACATATATATATATAAATTGGAATACAAACACGCAGACGCTAAAAAAACTAAAAATAAGAAGTTTATACAAGAGAAGAGAATCTATAAAAAATAGTGGTGATAAAAAAAGATGAGGAAGGAATAACTAAGTGAAGAATGTAGGTACAAAGAAGTAATGAAACGATTACATAAATTAGGATGAGAGAAAACTGAAAATAAGTAGAAACTATGAGTACCTAGTACAAATAACCAATAAAAGTTACCTTCCTTTAGGGAAAGGTGAACAGAAGAAATAAAAGTAGGTAATGATTATGCATAATAATAAAATAAGAAATGACAAATGTGTTTATTATAAGCAGGAAATATTGAATAAAAACAGTAAAACGAAGAGGAATGCAACCTGCAGGAATTATAAAAAAAAAAACAAATTACTTACCGATAACAATAAATGGCTTATAACGTGTACTACAACGTACGCTACTAATATCCAGTCTACAAATTCAGGCAATTCAGCTTTGGTAAGTTTCACAGCGAAAAACAATGTCACAACTAAAAAAAATCATCGTAATAAAAATTTCTACATGGTAGGTATTTCTTACTGGCAATGATGTGTGCAGCATTTCCTAGGCCCCAATGCAACCAATTGAAAAGCGGCCTTTTGGCCGTACCAGGATGAGGCCTAAAGTAAGCACCGATTGGTTGAAAGAAGCACAGTATAGTCGTTACAAGTCCTAGAATAGCGTGCGGATTGTTTTCTCCGGACCACGCTTTTAGTTCTACGAAAATTAGTACAAAAGCTGCCATTGTTAGGGCCCACGTGAGTACCATAAACGTTCTGTGCCACTAAAAACAAAAAGTATAAAATAGATAATGGATGTTATAAGTAGTAGTTCTTACTGAAAACCATACGTCCTTTCCAAGCACCTGGCTGCCAACCCAAGTTTGTCTGTAATACCTGGCCAGTAGAATACCTAAAGATGCCGTGCCCAACCAAGCAGCAATCATGAAAGAACCGTGCAGTCTGATGAGTAATTTTGATTTTGGGGCTAAGGAGGAAACGTCGGATAGAGCTTGTGATTCGGCACTGGCTAAATATGATAGATCATGGAACGCGACTGAGTTTGCTAGAAAAATAACCGGAATTAGAAATCTGATAACAATAACATTCATTCATTAACTGTGTTAAGTTTTTATAAATTAAATTATATATTTTTGTTAGATACATACCTCTAACTTTAGAACCAGAGGCAATTAATAAATAATATTTCTGACTAAGTAAGTCGAATATTGTTCCATTAACGTTTGTAAGAGCGTCTCTCCGCACCCTACAATATATTGTACCATCGATAATGCTACCATTGAGGATCTGAATTCCTAATTGAGGCTAAAACAAAGAAATTGGTACGTTAGTTTTTAAAATATTCAATTGGTAATTGAAATTTGGTAGGTAGAAGGGAGTGATCTAAAGCACCTGCCTCCTTAAGTCCCTAATTTGTCTCATTTCGAAGTTGAATTCAATCCTCTATTTTCAAATTCAAAGGAATGGCTCTATTAACAGGCAGCACGTTCTCTTCCCACCATGTTTGACCATGAAAAGAGAAAGCTGAGAATCACCAAAAAAAGAAGCAAGACTGATATAGGTAATCTACAACAGGACATCTTCATTCTACATCGGACAATAGAAGTGCTGGAAAAACGACATGTCAAATGGGAGAAATGAAGTGAAAGGAAATGTTGTATAAGAACTAATTAACAACAATAAAGGCTTGATTAGGAAGAGGAAAAAGGGTTCACTCAGCACTTGAGGCTTAACAGCAAATACTAATGAATTAGTTACATAAATTCTTACGTTAGATAATCTGGGTGCTCCATAATTAGGTTTCCCCTTAGTATAAGACATGAAAGCTGCAATTCCATTTCCTCTTTTAACGCATTCGATAACAGAATCGTCTCCCATTCTGTCATCATCTGACAGACCAACTCCTACCCAGGCTGCGCCACTTTCAGCTTTCAGTTCGAAATCGTATTTATCGCCCGCAACGCTGACAGCCACTGCCGATTTGCAATTTTTCGAATCGATACAATTGGCGGGCGAACCGAAACATAATTTGGAAAACGAACAACCTTGGTAGAACGGATCGAATTCGGCGGCACTTTCCTTGACTTCCGGCGGCGAGTAGTTGGGCGGCGTAGGCGAATTCGATTGGGTCGGGAACGCGAACTGGGGATCGTTGGCGCCTCGATTTGTTATGTCTACTGGATTGGACTCGACTCCTACCCAGAATGTGTCGTAGGCTTGCGCTATTGTAGCACTGGAAATAAGAATTTAGGATTATTGATGAAGTACTGGCAATAATTCAAATATAATTATAGTCAATTTCAACAGTTATCGAAATACAATTCAATCTCTACATTTTGACTGGTTGATTTCCAAGAAAACACGACTATGCTTTTGTTTATATTTGTGATTGTTGTTAAGCGATCTTCACAAAGTATGAATCAAGAACAGTCAACATGATTTGAGATTTTTGTTCAGCATAAGCTCTTTTTTCTTGTTTCGCATATTGTCACAACCCCTATACGTTTCGTCCTGGGACGTCACAACAGGAGCGTGACTTGGAGGCGTATAGTATAGGTGGGGTTCAGGTAGAGAGAATCTCGCTTGATATAGGTATAATAAGATGTGTATTAATTAATAATAGTTATTACCCTAGAAATGGTATCATAACGTCTCTTCTACGGAGGGACGTACTACTTAAGGGCCACTCTGTATTAATTATGTACCCTCTGTACACTTGGCGTGACTAAAGACTGAAACTAGGTTTCAAACAGGTCCAGAAGGGCGTTTCCCATTAAAGGTAGTTTGTACTGGGAGGAGACTTAGCTAGAAAGGGCTTTTCCCATTAGAGGTAGTTCGCACTAGCCTTAGTCTGCCGGTAATGAATTTTGGCGCTGTATTTATACCAAATAAATGCTGACTTGTCGACACACTTTAGTAAAATTGATGTACAGAGTGGTATTTACTTAAGTAGTTGACAATATATCTTCACCAACTTCATATATTGTAGCAGTGTCTCGTAACATTTTCTTCTTTCTTCAGGATTGGAAATCTGTCAAACATCTTTGGCGACAATTTTAACAAGATCGGTGAGCTGACAGAGTTTGATTTTCTCTCTGTAAAATGACATGATCTCTTATTGTTTCCTTGACATGAATGACGGGGCTCTTCTAATTCTCTCATTTTCCTTCTTTTTGAAATAAGTTTCAATTTCAAATAAGGATATATGATACTCGGTGAACTAAATGCGAGAATTAGACAAGAAATAAAAGACCTGATCGTAAGACAGTATGGAGAAGAAGCAAAAAATGAAAATGGACCATGAGGGAAGAGATCGAAAAAAATTTGGGAGGTTTAAGGGCGGCAGCAGCATGGAAAGCAAGAAAAAACGCGAGGAAAGGTAGAAAGGACGCAGAGAATGTCCAGATAATATCTATGGAAGAATGGACTGAACACTACAAGAAGCTGCTGACAGAGTAAGTAAATCATGTGAAATCTATAACGGCAAAAGAGGTTAGCACACATGTACCTATAAGATATGAAAATTGGGCCAGGAAACATTCCAATCGAACTAGTCAAATCTCAAATTCTAGCAAATACCTATATACAACGATATGTTACCAAGAAGGCACACTATACGAAAAAATGTAGCAACCCTGGCACAAAAGTTGCAGCAACCCTGAAGCAAACGTCAAAAAATTTGACATGTCAAAGTCAAAGTAGGCCTTGTAATTTCTGACAATTAATTCAAAATGGCGTTTGTTTGTTTTTTGTTTTGAGAGTTACCTTTTTTTTTATTCGAAGCCCTGTTTTTTTTTTCAGCTAAATTTAGTGTTTTTAAAGTGAAAAGTAGCTCTAAAACCCTCTGAGTAGGACAAGGAAAGAGATAAAGTAGGATGTAATTCAAGTGCTCACTTTTTTTAAAAGAGGCAGAAACACTTTATCTACCCCTAGTTTTAGTATTTAAAACTAGAAATTTTTTGATGAAAATGAAGAAAACTCAAAGCCTCGTACTTGAAATCGGTTTTCTCGATCGAAAAAGCACTGGAAAAGCAGAAAATCCAAAGAAAATCCCGTAAAAATGACGATCCGGAGTCTACCTAATAAAACTTGAGTTTTTGTCACTTACCCCATTGGAAACCTGGAAATTTTTGGCAAAAAATTAAGGAAATTCAAAGCATCGTCTTCTCAATCGGGTTTTCCAATAGGGTAGTGGACAAGGTAAAATTTCAATAAAATCGATGATCTATTGTTCCTCTATGGAGTTAATGAAAAATATTCCTATTGAAAGAAATTTCAGAAAAAAATGCTAACTTTGTTTAAAACGGTTGTAAAAGTACAGTTTTGGGACGCAGTATTTAAACGAAAATATTTCGCGCCTTGATTGTACGTCATAGCTGTTGTATTCAATGAACTAGAGCTAAAAACTGGAATGCGCACACAGTGCCATATCTGCCAAAAAAATGAAGCCATGAAAGACAGATGCCACAACGGGGAATGTTGTCTTTTTCTGTTACTCGCTGACATATGACGTTTTCGAAAGTTTTGTCATATTTTCCTTCACAGGTTTCATCAATTGGAATACGTGTTGGAAGCAATTTTCGCCATTTAACATAATGAGTGCGACAAAAACAGGTATCCCCTCCGCAGCAGCTGCACTAGGCTTCACGTTCGTCCTTATGTGTTAGCATTCCAGTTTTTGGTTATAGTTCATTGGTTGTATTTGAGTATGAAATGAATCAAACCTTCGTCTTGTATTCGACACACACTTACTCATCAGTGCAAAAAAGAGAGATATATCAGCGTCTGTGTGTCATTACATGTAGGCGCACCCTCAACATAACCCCACTTTTTCAGAGATTTCCATTTGTCAATCAGTGCGCACTGAGTTTATCGGCATCTTTTTTCAAAACCATGTAAAAGATAAGGACGCGCGGACCGCGCTCTCGCCACCTTCATTAATGTCGGAATGCCTTGGACATAACAGCTGTGACGTAATTTTTGGGCGGTAAATTATAGCGTTTAAAATAAGTACAAATTTGTTAATTTTTTTTTACGCATATTTTTGTTTTCTAAAATCAAAGAATCATCAACAATTGTTTATTTTGTGATGAAGATTAATAAAAAAAATATTTCAAAAAATTATCCACTACCCTATTGGAAGAGGCCAGAAAAAATGGAAAATTTGAGGAAAAACTGGATAAAAACATTCAAAAATGACCGACTGTCAAAACTGGGAAATGACATTGTGCGACGTTGCGACATTTCAATTATTCCAAATAGGAAAAAATTACATTTAAAATAATTTTTTGCTTAAATAATTAATTCATGATGTTTATAAAATGATAAATTCCGAAAATAATTTTTCCTACGAGCGTGCGCAAAGTAGTACTTTTCCGCACGCATTTCCGGGCTCAAAGTTACACTTTTCCGCACTCAGTGCGGATACGGGCCTTATCCGCACTGAGTGCCGAAAAGTAATTATAATTGTCAAGCAACAATAAGTGCACCTGTCGACTTTGACGCATGATGACAAATTTTTCCTCTTGTTTCTATATCAGCAGCCAACATCTATACAAACACCAAATATAAATTAACTTTGACACATTGTCAGATTTGTTCTCTATTTATATGCAAAAATCTACAAACTTTTTCATCAAATTTAAACGCTTTAAGATGAACAGCTCTGACGAGGATTTTCTGTTATTTTTTTTTGTTATGTAATTTTTTGATAAATGCATAGGTTCCCTTCAAGTTAATTAAAAATAACAACAAATTATCGTTTTTTTTTTTAAATTTTTGTTATTACCTACCTGATATGAAGCTCGTAGAAAAAATTTTGTTCCTAACACGTGCGCAAAGTGTCTTTTCCGCACGCAAACACGTATCCGAACTCCGCTCCGCGTCGTTCGTATAACTGTGTTTGCGTGCGGAAAAGTAACACTTTGCGCACTTGTTAGGAAAATAACTATATTGGAATCTTATTTTTAATAAATTTCAATAAAAATAACATTCCAAGGCCTGCTTAATAGTAAGAAAGACAAAGAGGGAGATAAAGTAGGAAACAATCTACAGTCTAAAAATCGAAGTTTTTGGTGGAAAAATGAAGCAAATTCAAAGCCCCGCTTTTAAAATCATTTTTTTCTAATTGAAAAATCCCTGGAAAAGTAGAAAATTCAATGGAAAACCAACATTCCAAAGACTACTTTAAAAATCAAAGTTTTGGTCACTTACTCCATTGGAAAACTGGAAATTTTTGGTGGAAAATGGAGAAAACTCAAAGCCTCGAATTTTAAAACGGTTTTTACGATTGAAAACGGCCTGGAAAAGCGGAAAATTTGAGGAAAAACTAGACAAAAATGTAAACTCGTCAATTGAAAATGATCGAATGTCAAAAATGGCAAATGCCATTTAATACAAGGTCTACTTGAAGTTGGCTACAAGCAATGTTGCCACATCACAAAACTACCAAAAAAATCATTTAAAATGGGATTCTACTTGTAATTTAATAATTAAAAACCCGTTAAATAATTAATTATTAATGATTTTAAAATTGGAAATTCCTTAAATAAGTCCTCAAAAACTTGCTTTTCAATAATTTTTTTCACCTACCTTTTGACCGTAAATAAATGAATCTAAAATTGGAAATTTCTAGCAGAATATGGAGAAAACTCGAAGCCTCGTATTTTAAACCAGTTTTCTCGACTGAAAAAACCCTGAAAAAGTGGAAAATTCGTGGAAAACCTGGATAAAAATGTAATAACGACACTTCAAAATGGCCGATCAATAATTTGGTAATGAGTATGACAAAGAGAGAGACAAAGTAGGATATTATTTTTGTCTAAAAATGGAAGTTTATGATGAAAAATTGAAGCAAATATAAAACCCTGAGCTCAAAACAGTCTTTTTCTGATTTAAGAAGCCTTGGAAAAGTGGAAAATTCAATGGAAAACCAACATTCTACAGCCTACTTGATCAAACCAAGGTTCTGGACACTAATCTCGTTGGAAAACTGGAAATTTTTGTCAGAAAATGAAGGAAACTCAAAGCCTCATACTTTAAACAAATTTTTTTGATTGAAAAATCCCTGAAAAACCGGAAAATTCAAGGAAAAGCTGGATAAAAACACTAGGCTGTCAAAAGTGGCAAAAGACATTACATTACATTACATTACAAGGCCTACTAAATGAGTGAAACAAAGAAAAAGTAGGATGCACTTCAAGTACTCAGTTTTAGAGATGGGTTGCGATTTCACGAACTGTGATTTTGTCACTGCTTCACCGATGCAGATGCAGCGCGGACTAAACTCAAGTCAAAAGGATGCAAATAATGAAATATTATTGTAAATCGCATCGCGGTGACGTCAAACAGAAACTGCTACTGCAGTGGACAAACCGGAACACCTCTCTCGGCTGTGACTGCGAACTAGGTGGACTGCGATTATGTAATGTAGCATTTATATGGCCAATCAAGGTTAAACTGTTCCAAAAAATCACTGCTATTTATCACCGTGACACGACTGGAGTAGTCACGTCTTGTCACTGCTCCAGTAAAATCGCAGGTTAGCCCACCTCTTGTTACGGGATGATTTTTCCCGCACCAAAATAAAAGGAAATAAGCTTATTCACCTCTCTGAATAGCATACCTTCCTCAAGCCACTGTTTTCTATCCAATAGTTGTAGCCACACTTTTCATCAAACTTTTCATTCTTCCCAGAATCATTAAGTTAGAGGTTTATTAATGGAATTGATTTCCTGTTAGTAGGGTTAAAATAAATAGACAATTAATTTATTAACAAACAAAATCACAATATTTACACTAGAACAGCTGATTGTCTGATCCGAGTAGATTGTCTAGATTGACAGCGTTCCAAATAGAGTCAATGACCGGTACTAACTTAATTTGAATAAGTCCCATGCCCCAACTACCATCAAAATTCCCCAGTACCTTCCACCTTGGAGTTTTGACAGAACCTTTTTGAAGGACATTGCAGGGACAAGCAGAGGTCATTCAGGTCGAGGACTTTTCACGAATAAATGTTCGGGAAAATTCCTCAGGCACATTTTGCCGATTTTCTGAGTTGTTTAGTTTTCGCTCATAGATCTAGGGTGGCTAATCCGTTATTTTAGCACCCAATCGCCTTGTGCGGATTTTTTTTGTGAGTCGAAAAAGAGCAACGTGACCAATTGTTTGTTCCTAAAGGCCAAAGTAATTTTGGTAAGTGGTTTTTCTTATTAATCTTCTCTGTGTAGAAACACAAATTTCCTATGTAAAAGCATAGTTTTCTGTTAATTATACGGTTAAATTCCGAATATCGGACATACCTACCTATATTGCTCCACGCCCTCTCTCATAACGTCCATTTGTTTCGGGCCTTTATTCATCACCTTTAGAAGTTACACTTTAATCTTTACCTTTAGATGTCACCTTTTATTCGTCACGCTTTAGTCCCTGACTTTCAGTAAAGAGTTATACGTTCAGCTTACGGTATATTTCAAGTAGTACCTACAATCTTCAGCCTTCTCTAGACCATTGGAAGCCTTAGTGACTCCTAGTTACTGAACTTCAGTGCCCAGGGCCAGGTTGCTTCTTGTACGGCCCTGATCCAGTCCCAGGCCATTGGAAACACTGGAAGATATTGATCCCACCTGTCAGGTTCTCCCCAAGAGATTGGGGACTACTCAGGTTTGATAAGTGTGTTGTATTGTCTTAATATCAAACCTTACCAACTCCTTGTTGGAGTAAATCACCACAACAACGCAGTTCTACAACAATATTGAATTATCCTTCAGATTAGATACTGTTATTTCAGTTTCAATTAATTATTACCTTTATTATATGAAATTTACCATTCAGGTTATGTACTGTTAGGTACTTCAATTTTAAGTATTTATCTATACCTTCTATATTATTCCATAATATTAAATTTGCCCCTCAGGCTATTTATTGTTACTTCAACTTTAATTATTGATCTATATTTGTCTAATAACTATACCATAAATACATACTGCACTGAATACAGGAAATACTTGTACACTGGGGTTAAATGGCCATTTACGAAGGTACTGCATCTAGTAAGCTTATTTATTAATTTATATTTCAGGTATTATTGCTGTTAATTGTTATACTTTTTATTTCTTTATTTAGGGACTCAAGTTGAGTGTAATTAATCATTATTGTAAATACTATTTTAAGAACATATGGTTAGATACTTCTATAGACTATTTCTTTTCTTGCTCTGGTTCCAGTGTAAAGTGTAAATAATTTTCAGTGTTCCAGGGCGTTCGAAAAACTCACTCCGAACCTGCTCTAGAGTCAACCTGTTCTGGTTTCACGTTTCTTGTTCTAATTAAAACCCGTACCTGATTGTAGCAAAGCGTTTCACTTTTGTCCTTCCTTCTTGTTTACGTTTATATTTCAGGTTGTGCTGCTATAGGTCCGTAGAAGTTTCCTGCTTTCGTTATATCGGTTGATTTCGTGTACTGCAGGGAAAAAGCAGGTGGCGCTCTATATTTAGTTAATTAATTGACCCACACCCCTCTCCGCATTGGAAGCTAGTCGGCAACCCTTTACACGAAATCACGTTTCTAGATTTCAGCCACCAACCAACTCTCTCTTCTCTTTTTATTTTATTTTTTTCTTTTTACCCATTAACTTTCCCACCTCCTCAAAATCTTATCATTAACTTCTCCCTTACGTTTTGCGGGTAACAAAGTGGCAGTGCCCGTCCTGTCACGTAATACTCTACTTTCACATTACAACAAATCATAGAAAAAAGGAAACCTCGAAATCTGTCCACACATCTAATATTTGTAGACCTCTAGAAGGCCTACAATACAGTGCTCTTGAGAAAACTTATCGAAGTTTTGACAAAGACCAACCTCGGTAAAAAATACACAAGAGTCATTCATTAGTAACATTCATAAAAGCCCGCAGAGTAAAAGAAGTAAATCAAGCTTCAGAATGTTTTAAACTTACCAAAGAAACTAAAGCAAGGTTGCACTATAACTGTTCTAAATATACTTTGAGGAGGCCTTGGAGAACTGAAGAAATGAGTGCTCTGGTATGGGAATAGAAGTGGGAGAACATTATTTGTTCACACTATTATTTCCAGACGATCACGTAATAATAGTTACCTAGCTACCTTCTTACTAAAACGATAAAATTTCAAATCTTTTTTTGTTGAGATTTTATATCCTAATGGTCCCTTGGGATCCCCCAAACTCCATACGCTAAATTATTCTAAGATTTGAAGCCAGATTCTATGAAAAAAGGCACTCAGAAAAATTGAAAAATTGATAAACCATACCCCAAATTGCTTAACACGATTTTATTTCTGGAACTTAAAAGTCCAAATGAGCTGAAATTTTCAGGGATTGTAGTCCTCTACTGGGATGAGAATCACTGAAATTTTCAGCTTTCTATCTTTGATAGAGAAAAAGTTATGACCTTTCCAAAATTCAAATCATAGGGTAGGTGTAGCTGTGAAGAGGACCTGGATTACATGTATAGAAAACTTAAGACCGTATATGAACAGTGGGGAATGAAAATAAACCAAAGCAAAACAGAATATCTTTGTACTATTGAAGATGATAATGAATATCCGGATCTTAGCTTAAGAGATCTGAAAAAGTGTGAGGAGAGCGAGACATAAATAACAGAGTAACACAAGTTAAAAAATGCGTTAAAATCCTCAATTCTTTACTCTTGAATAGTCAGATATCTATGAAAACCAAAATGACAATCTACGGAGCAATTGTAGAAACGATATTGATGTACGGATCTGAATGCTGGCAGCTATCGAAATGAAATAAAAGGAAGGTAGATGCAGTGGAAACCGCCTTTTTCAGACGAGTATGTGGACTAATGTGGAGTTTGAAGACAGGAGCATACAGAACACTGAAATTGGAAGAAGAACAGGAAGAATATATAATACCACCGAAAGAATAGACACCTTACAGCTCATGGTATGATGTTATAAGAATGTAGGAGGAGAGATGGTCAAAAATACCATTGATGAGACCGGCGCTAACATGGATAGATAACATTAAAACAAAAATATGAATGATAGAGCGATAGACGAGGAAGATGGCGATCGAAATGCGGAATGCGGCAAAAGGCTGTAAGATCCCCGCGACAATGATGATGTTTCCGAATCTATTCAGTTGCCAATTTTAGCTGAATGCTTGGTTGTTAACCAGAATTGATAAAATGTTATCGAATAATTCTTCAACAGATTATGCGTTCCATGAAATGTTTCTTTCAATGAGTCCAAAATTTAACACGACATAAAATTAACAAAGTACTTCCACCATAAGATACGAAACACATTTAACAATGAAATTCAATATTGAATAAAATTTACATATAGTTTTTGTGGCTTCTTTTTAAGTAACCTGCAAGGTGAAAGGTAAAACGAAAGACATTGTTGAATTTTTTAATTCAAGGGTATACATACCTACCTTCGGTTACCCAAGAAATAATTGAAATTACACAAAAGCACTTCGGTCTCGGTCATACCTATTGGTTGAAGTAATTGATGTTGCGGTTAAAGAAATTCGGGTTGAGCCAAACTAAATTAATATACCAGGGTGATTAATAAAAAAATGTTAATCACCCAGTATATAATGTAACAGTAAAAAGTAAATTTTAAGGTGTATGGCGTGAGTAATAATGATACCTACCAATTAACTAGCGTTTATATTCAATTTATGATGCATAAAATATTTTTTAATTGTTAATTAAATCTAATTTTCCACAAGTTTTTCATATTACCGAACTGATTCCCAATTCAAGGTTACTATTCTATTCAATGTAACAATATTTAAATTTATTTTGTTATGGATAGTAAATTTCAAAACATTGAATAATTATTCATAGAAAAAAACAACAGTTATTGCAAAGTACAGAAATCAATATGTATAGATGTACCTTGAGATTATTGATTATTAATTACTTACTTGAAGATAACAGGTCCTTCGTATCCTTTAGGAGGCGTCCACAAAACATCGATGCTATTTTTGTCGTTTGGTGAGTTGTGAGTTATGGAATCGGCCGCTTCGCCACAGTCCAATGGGTGTCCTTCGTTCACTGAAGACGAATCAAATTGTCCAAGAATTTCCCTTGAAAAAAAAGAAACTTTTGAATTGTTCTTATTTATCATCATCAGATCTGATGCATGACTAAGTTCGTGTGCGGTAAATAATAGCTTTATAACTCGTGTACTTTACATCATATTTCTGGAAAACTACTTTACAATTTTATGAAAAAATTTAATTGAAATGACCCATGAATTCTTAAAATTTTCACAATTATTATTATTATTCTTACCCATTGGGTGTTCTTCCTTGTAACAAAAATCCTTGAAATGGTATTCCTAAACTTGAAGTGACGGTTACAAAGACTTGTCCTCCTTGCCTTCTTGGCACTACATTGTAAGGAGGTAAGCCTCCCTGAGGCCGAATACCTCCGCCGTGAAACGGCATCATGGTTTGGCATACTGAAGAAGGGGCACCTTGCGGGAGACTTCGCACCAGTGCTATGGTGCAGATGAAGAGAAAAAGCTGATAGTGCATAATTGATAGCTGAAAATAACAAAAATAAATTATGATTCATAACTAAAAAGTCCTTGAAATAAATACATAAATAAAGATAACACATGTAGGTAAAACTAAATGCATTGAAGTAAAAAAATTGTAATTTATTTAAAGTCAGTTATAGGTATCTATGATAAGTTGCCATTTATTATAATAATAAATTTGTCATTGGCTCGTTATAAAATACTGTTTGCAACTAAAAGTAGGTACCTGAACAATTTACGAAATGAATCTTTTACTTTAGGAATGCCTATACAATGTGTCCGAAATTCGAGTCTCTACATGGGGATTTTGCTTATTATGAGAGATACAGGGTGGCTCAAATTAGGAAAGTTTTAGGGAATTTATTGCTCATTTATATCCTATTGTTAAATTTGCTTCAAAGTTTTCTTTTTTCTAGAAATCCGAGAAAAACTAAAAATAGCCAATTTTGTTTTTTGTCAATAATTCATAAACCGTTAACTTTAGACTTTTCTAACTTCAACATTATTGAGACACTATCTTCGATTTCAACAAAATAATATTCTGCGAAAAAAATCCTTTAAAATGATGTATTACAAGCTATGAAAACGTTTTGCAAGTCCTTCAAAATTACAGTTGAAACCGATATTTTGCTAAATTTGGCAACAATGCTCATAACTATAAGAATAAAACTGAGAATAAAACTAAATAGGTATGATTTAATAACTAGAATCAGTATTTTTGAAGTCTTCTGGCAATTTTACTGGATAAAGCAAAAATAAGTAAGTAAGGTATTCCACATGTTTTTTTTTTTGTAATGTAAACATGAATTACAGCTTTTCCTCCTTTCTTCTTCCGGTTTTACGCATCGGGAAAAATTATACCAATTTGGAAAAAGAAAGCAGGAAAAGCTGTAATTCATGTTGTTTACATTACAAACAAAAAAAAAACATGTGGAATACCTTACCTACTTATTTTTTCTTTATCCAGTAAAATCGCCAGAAGACTTCAAAAATACCGATTCTAGGTATTAAAACATACCTATTTAGTTTTATTCTCGGTTTTATTCCTATAACTATGAGCATTGTGGCCAAATTTAGCAAAATATCGGTTCCAACTGTAATTTTGAAGGACTTGCAAAACGTTTTCATAGCTTGTAATATATCATTTTAAAGGATTTTTTTCGCAGAATAATATTTTGTTAAAATCGAAGATGGCCGCCATAAGAAATCAGAAAGTTTTGGTTAATAACTCGAAAACAAACGACGATCGGAATGTTTTCAAATCACGAAAATATCCGTCTCAAAAAAGTGTCTTAATAATGTTAAAATTAACGGTTTATGAATTATTGACAAAAAACAAAATTGGCTATTTTCAGTTAGTCTCGGATTTCTATGGAACAGAAAACTTTGAAGCAAATTTAACAACAGGGTATAAATGAGCAATAAATTCCCTAAAACTTTCCTAATTTGAGCCACCCTGTATCTCTCATAATAAGCGAAATCCCCATGTAGAGACTCGAATTTCGGACACACTGTATACATGTCTACTAGCACCTACATACACCTAGTTATTATAGTATATTGAACAAATTTTTGAGCCAGTTCTCATAAATTGATATCATGTGACTTTTGTCAATTTGGGAATTCCATTCCATAGAGTGTTTATCAGACCATCATTGATAATTCTGAGAAGATTCATTATTCTACAGAGGAGAAAGTGGATTCATCTGTGAACATTACGAATTTTGAAAAATGCAGTTTGATTTCAATCCCACCCCTCTATTTGAACATAAAATTTCAGTACAAATCTAGGTCCTAAAATGATAGTAATTTGCTTGCAAAATTTTCCTTTCAGGTGTCTGCGTCCTGTATCTGTCCTCAAGACAATTTCAGCTGAAGAATAAATTGTTATTTGTGTTGTTTTCTTGAAATTATTGTCAATTGAATCTAAGTAGCAATCCAACGTTATATTAACGTCGTAACACGTTAAAATCTAGGTCGTATTAAAGTTGTCCAGGCGACTAGTGATATAAATTTGTTTAGGTGGTATATTATTAACAGTCTTTACTCAGACTAATAGTGAGTTTTGTGAAGCCTGATGCATTATGAAAATTATCGAAAAGCCTCTTTTCACATCTAAGGTTGGTTGAACATGTTCTAGTTGTCTCTGTAGAGCAGTTGCGATTAGAGAAGTTCATTTTTAAGTCCACTTCTTGCGAAAATTTCAAGATTGCACGGTGTCGAACGCCTTTTGGAAGTCAAACACTAGATACCAAAGGACGATTATATTCAATACTCTTTTCTATGATGGAACGTGATCTTTGGTACTGAACCCAGCGCGGAAACCAGCTCGGGGCTGACAAAAGTCAAACTAGTCGATTTTCTATTACGCAATTTGTAGGTGATTCAGTAGACTTATTGGTCTGTTGTTTTTGAGGTCTATTATTCTATCACCTCTTTTATGTATCAAGATCATAATTGAGTTTTTCCAGTTTTCCGGAATTTTATATCTTTGCAGACACAGATTTTGAATTTTTCAAGTTTTATAACTTTTGCGATTACCTACACTATTTACCCCCGGAGCTTTATTATTGCTTGTCTTTTTCAAAGCATTTTGAATTTCATCTATGGAAACATCCGGTATATTTTCTGATCCTTGCTTTTGGACTTTTCTTTGTATGTATTCTGTTTGAGTCTGTTGATTGTTACATAAAACTCCGAAGGAATGTTCGACTATTTGAATCAGCTTTTTTCTCTCTATTAGTTGCGGATTCTCTTTTTACAACTTGTAAATTTCCTTTTCTTCACTTTTATGCTCTAATTTTCTTCAATGGTCTGTATGATAATACCTACTGGTTGGTTATTTATCTGTACTAAGCTTAACACAAAAATTATATGCGGTAATTTAATTGGGCATTCAATTTCTATGTAATCTAGGTAGGTACTTTTAGTATGACGATAAAAAAACTTTTTTACAGTACTTGTTTACACCAACCTAAACTATATTAAACACAATACATACCAAAGAACTAATCGTGTATAAAATAAGAATATTGTTGGTAGTAATTAATGAAGTCCTTGGGTTTTTCAATAAAATGAATCACACGCTTCACGAGAATAAAATTCCGAGTCGCATTGAGAAAAAAATCTACAACTGACCCTGACTACTATGACCAGCAATTTTAGTACTTAGCAATATGTATCAAAGAGTGACGATTCATTTGGTACTTAGAATTGGGGCGAAATAGCTTCAATAATCTAAATAAAACTTCCTTATTTGAATTTTAAGGGACATTTTTTCAATTTTTATGAGTTTGCCATGCAATTTACTCATGTTTTTTTTATATTTGTACTACTATTTATCATGGTCAACCTTTTACCTCATATTATGCTCAGGAATAGTAAAAAGTTCAAAATTAACCACAAAAATCAGGTCAGGAACAAAACAATTATTAGAAATCTTAATGTCGCCTAAGACCTTGTGTATCATTTGATACCTACTTGTTACCTTTAAAATAGTAAATGGTCGCAAAAATGCATAAACATTATAGTATGTATTGTTTCCTGCCATTTATTGTTAATGACCTGAGAATTCTAAAATTATTGTTGAGCTGACCTCTAATCTAATAAGGAACAAAACAAACTATACAGGGTTAACGTTACGTAATGGAATTGGTCTCATAATTTGAGCATTGAAAAAATGTACGTAGTTTCAGCCTATTCACTACACGTTTCCAAAATTTCAGCGAAATCGCTTCTGTCTGTGATTTATTGAAGAAAAGAATCGAGATGTAGGTCTTTCTCATCAGGTGTCATATATTTGCGATGAAAATCGATTAAATAAGTGAATTTTCACTGTCAGATCAATGATCAACCTTAGAAGTAGATGTAAATTCAAAATTCAACACAATTATTCAGATACCTAATCTCCTCGGAATCTTCCTATAGTGTATCTGCTGAGCAGCATTTGCTTGCATTTAAAGCCGGATCCAGACCAATAAATATTTACGTTGTGCGTTGTATTTGATGCAAATTTGCTCGTATTCGTCAAAATATTTATAAGTGTGGACTGTGCGCCGCCGTACAAAAAAACCACGCAAATATGTACGCCAGATACAACACACGCTATCCGCGATCTGTCGGTTTTTCCAGTTTATATAATACTGAATTACCTAACACATAAGAATAATAAGAGAGAAAATGGTAAACATAGACGTTACTGGACAACAAAACTTTTCCAGTATAGAAGCCAAAATGGTGATAGTGGTGAAACCACGCACGATGCACAAAAATGGATCGCAGAAAAATATACCAACGCTGCGCACATATTTGCGCAAAAAAGTCACAACAAAAAAAATTCAACATACAATATTCAACACACAAATTTATTGGTCTGGACCCAGCTTAAGGTCAAATAGTGTTGATCATACCAAGCCTTTGGTTGCCGGAGTACATATTCTGTAGTGATACCGCGAGACTCGACACTGGTCTCATCTCGTCTCGACTTATCGAGACGAGACTGGCTTTTGGTCTCGTCTCGTGAAGTCTCGACGAGACGAGACCAGACTCGGCGAGAGTCTCGAGTCTCAAGATTACACTCAAAATTTTTCTTTCATAGCATTATTATTGGACTATTCTGGGCTATTTGAATATGAAATCAGTAAATTAAATATCACGGTTACTCTTTACTGTGATTTTTCACTAATTGCTTTTTCACTGTGGCAGTTTGGACTTCCGTTATAATGTAAAAATAAAAACCATAAATACAGAGTGTCCGAAAAATAGCGTAAAAGCTCTCCATGTAGTAGGGGACCCTTTGAGAAACCCTAGAAAAATAATTAAATTAAAAAAATCCTTCTCCAGTATTATTCTTGGTAATATGAAGAGCTAGATGTGAAAATTCACCTTCGAATTCTTCAGGTAATTACATGGGTATTTGATTTAATAGACCTATCTATTTTACCAGACAAAGAGATAATAATACTTTATTAGATAGAAAAAGACGCAGAACGCTTATTGCGCAAG